GGAGATACTAGGAAGCCTTTGATTTCATTTTCTGTGTTTCTGTGCTCTTCCTGCTGTAGTCTGAATGGGCTCCAGTTTATCAGCATATTTCCTTCTGGCTTGCCGAAAGCATGGTGCTAGTCAGGGTAGCCTCACAGGAGAGGGATGCAAGAGCTGGTGTTGCTTCCAGCTTGGTTTCAAATGTATCCTATTTTGTCTTCATTCTTATTACCTTTCCTCAGAAGTCTTTGGCATGGTTGAGATTCCTGTATTTTGTCTTTCAGAAGTTCTGAATTATTTTTCCCCAGATTTTTCTTTAAATACATGTTTCTTATACAAAGGAAAATGTTATTAAGGCGATTTGTTGGATTAGATAAATAAAATCCAGCACTTTGTTTCCTTCTGTGCTGCTGACTACCTTTCATAAGCAGAAATGGAGCTCCCRCCTGCTTAAGAACACATCAACTTTTTCTTTCATTTTGACTTTCATTATAGTTCTTCAGGCTTTTTTCCTTAGCAGCCTTCACATCTCTGCAATCTGAGCCATCTTTGAGACTAAAACTTGATGAGACTTTGCTACTGGAAAAGCCATACACAACCATCTATTCACTTTCTAAGGGTTTGGTTTTTCTTTTTTCCTTTGTGTTCCAACTAAATGTTAGCCATTGATGTATGTTCTGKATCCGAGCTGTTTATCACCTTTGATTCTCACCTGTGGCTGTAACTGCAGTGGTCCAGCTGGAAGCAGGCAGGCTGGACAGAGAGCTGTACGTGACCCAAAGGAGTGACATCTGCTTTGCCTGCTGCTTGCCACCAGGCATTTAGCTTGACAGCAGCCATAGACATCTTCACGGGGCTTTGGTAAGGGACTCACAGCACTGGAATCTTCACACTGCTAAGGTTTGCTTACCCCCCTGAACCTAGCTCCATTTGTTAACTCTGATTTTCTTTGGCTGCAGAGATACCCACTATCCATCCTTAAGCCTTTATTTTTGCTCTTTCTTACAGAAATCCAAGATTGAGACCCCTACRTGCAGTGCAGACTCATGTCTGTGTTTTACACTGTGGGAAAAGTGCAGGGGTTTTCCACTGTTATTTGTTAATTAATTTGGATTTAGTTTTCCTAGTAACCTAGTATGTCTGAAAGAATGGACCCCAATTTTTTTTTTTAATACTTGCCAGATATACAACTGCTGCACAACTGAAAACTTGTTGTCATGCTTTGATTTTAGCCACATGGAAAGTTTGCCTGCTTTTGCATAAGTATTTGGATTGGGTTTTATAAGCAAGTCTTCAGGAACTGGTTTAAAGCTGAACACAAACAATTACATTGTACCAAGTGGCTTCACGTGTATTTGTTCTTTCTCTTAAATATTTTTTAAAAAGGTATTTTACAAGTTGTCTTCAAAATTAGCTGTTTGGACTATGTGTCAGTCTTGTTTGAGGGACAGTCTCTGTATTTTAACTTCTGAGTCTTGGATCTCATAGACAATCTCAAATTGCTCTTCAGCTGTGTGAGAACACTCTTTATTACAGCTCTGTGAAGCCTTTGTAGAAATGGCAAGTGTGTATTCATCTTCTGAAAGCTTGTGAAGAATTTGCTGTAGCTTATGGTAGAGCTTCTCAGCATTCAGGAATGTAAACTAGATTCAGTGACATTAAAGATAGATGTTCAAAAGGAACTGGCACATGAACAGAATAGGGTTTTTAATACATTTTTTTGACTTCTGCAATTGTGCTATTTTAATTGACTGAGCAAAATGATTAAATATGTGGCTTGGGTTTTTTTTTTTTTTTTTTTAAACCTAGATAAAATAGATYTAAGCCTTTTTTAAAAAGTATTTTGCAGCGAATGTGACTTGGTCTGCAGGGCCTTCACATACTTTCCCCCACTGCTATTCATCCTGAGGTTTGGCAGTAGGCTCAGAGCTGTGCCTTTGGCAGCAGAAACCCTTGCTGCTCAGCCCCTCTCCTCATTTTCACTTCAGTCTGCTTCTGCAAATAGAATGCTGGGCTGAGCTCCTCAAATATAACTAGCTGCCTCCCCTGGTTGCTGGTTATCTAAATCAGCCTGGTTTCCASAAGCAGGTTTTTGCTGAATATCAGTCTTTAAAGATTTTTTTTTAATATTTTCCTTTGTGACTTAGTCTTATGCTGTGTTGTCACAGGCATAAAATTGATGTCTCACAGTCTCATCACATATTATGGAGAGGATTTATCTGTTTAAGGGAGGGTACATTGAATGAGACAACCTGCTGGCTGAGATTAAAGCTTGAAGCACAGGATCAGCACCCATGTTAGCACTGGAGGAAATCATATTTTGTTTGTTTTCTCTGCTGTATTTACCAGTGGTGGTTCAGGAGTTTGAAAATCAAGACATTACATAGGATGGTAAGTGCTTAAAGCCTATCATCCATTGCAGCAATCAAGAAAATAGTAAGAAGGGAGGGGAGAGAACTTGATGCTCATGTATCACTTGAAGCTCTTGGAGGATGATTTAGTAGGTAGAATTAATGCTTGTAATAGTTGGSCTTGGTGGGTTTTGTCAGGTCTTCAGTTCAAGTCCTTRCRAARYTGATTCTGGTATTGTGCACTGAYTTTTCATCRCCTGTTTGGGGAAGATGTWATYCTGGGAGAACAGTAGAGGAAATAGYCCCCYAGCCTGTTCATTTTGGGTTTCTGAAACATCACCTCTGAAGTCCTGAGCCTGCCTGACAAATTCTGCTGACCACTAGGAAAGCATGTAGCTGTTTGAAGGAGTAGGTCTCACTGGTGCAGTGGAGGGCTGCAGTCATGGGTTTCCTCCAGGGACAGTCTGTAAYCAAAAGTTCTGTCTAATGTATTTTCAGTTTAAATAAAGGAAATTCCAGATTATGTTTGTATTTTCTGTGTAKTTATACTGATAAGTGCACTGATATTACACCACTTGAATTAGGTTATGAACAGGCCTTTGGTAACTTAGGGTAGTCAGAACAGAGGTTTCAACCTTTTAAAGTTTTAGACCTTCCAGTCTAAAAGCAAAGATCATTAAGAAGCAGAKATCCAGACTGTGACAGAAGTACCAACTGCACAATGAGGCATTCCGAGAAGAGAATTTTATGTCAGAAGCAATCAACTGCTTTGACCAATGACTAAAATTTGTGTGACTTTCAGCAAGTACAGTGTATTTAATATGGATTTTCAGTCTTACTGATGTTAAATGTGGAAAAAACCACTCTTGTAGAATTTTTTCTTTGTATAATCATTATCCCAACAACTTTTAGTAATGGTTAAAAAAATATAGCAAACACATCACCCGTGCTTTCACCTTTTGGCTGATTATTTCAGGGAGTGTGTTTGCAGTGCATRGGGAGGGATTTCAATCTGTGTATGGATTACAGAGTGAGCACTGGAGGGGAAGACTGGAGAAATATGCCTCGCCACCTGCGTGGAGGTCTCTGCTGTGGCTACTGATCTGATTTCCTTCAGGAGCCCAACCCCTTTTCCCACGTTGGTTCCTGATGATACTTCATGCCATCTACAAAGTAGCTTCATCATGCTTGTAGAAAGGTCACCTGCAGACTTTTCCAGGACTCCAAGGATGCATTTTAGGCAAATGCTTGACATCAAGTTTTGATTCTGTGGTACGAAGCCTTAGAATAAATCCAAGACCTCTTGGCAGCTGTGCTGAAGCCTGAGCAGTAATGCCCAAAGCAAAGTAACAGCTGTGTTGGCTGTGGTGAGAGAAGAGGGTTTGTGCACAATTTCTTGAAAGAGAAGGGAACTTTCTCTAAAGGTTGGGTCTGAGGGCTTTTGTGCTTTTCACTAGGCATCTAGAAATAAAAATGCACAGCAAAACTGTGGGTGTACTGACTTCAGCCAGAAGAGACTGAATTGCAGCTACAAATCTTTGGACTGCTTCCCTCTTCCCACTCTCCTGCTTGAATCTGCCATAGGGAACATGCAGGGTGTAGGTTTTAACATCCCCAGCATTTGCTGAACCTGCTGGGTGTCGTTGCACGCTGCAGAACCGGCTGCAGTGGCTGATCCACAAAGGCCATTACTCCATGTTTGCTCCACCATCCTACACTCACAAAGGGGTGCCTTTGGGCACTTCTGCCCTGTGCAATGTGTTGCAGCCGTGAGGTACTGAGACAAGCAGAATGATAGGCAAGGTTAATTAGCCTCAAATGTGTCAGTAGTCTCGGGTTTTGGGAGGGGAACAATACCCCTACGTGATGTTGCCCTGCTCTGTGGCTCCCCAGCATGGGAGTGGGCTGGGGACACCTAAAGTCACCTCATGCAATGCAACGTTGGCGTGTTTTGGGTTTGTCGCTCCTAAGTACAGCTTTTTCAATCACGCTGCAGTCTGCCTGGGTTTAGGGGAGTTATCAAACGTGCTGAACAGCAGCTCTGTGCTCATTCCTAAGCATGGCTTTAGGTCTCTAGTGGCAGACCTCCTTTTAAAGCCAAGCTGTGTTTTCCTAAACATTTTATCCTTTAAAGTGTTGCACATGCATTTTAGGTCGCTTGAGCTTGCTTCCTGCCTCCTTGCTTGAATATTTTTTTCTTTTTCTTTTTTCCCATTGTGCTTGTGAGTCAAAGAATTTAAATTTTCCACATACATACATRTATGCCCTCTTTTGCTTTTATGCTTTTCTCACACAGCCTTTTGCCGTGGGTGAGCGGAACTCTCGGCAAAGAAAGCAAACAGAACAGACCCGTCGCCCCCAACCCCTTGAAAGAGCAGAGGGCATGTGGAATAAATCAAAATGCAAAGCATAATAACGAGGTCCCATGGGAAAGGGAGCCTTGTGATTGTGTGCCGGCGTGCACTCCCCTTAGAGACGGCGGTCGGGGGGCTCACCCCACGGCGGCCGGGGGCTCCTTTCTTTCTCACTTGCATCTCCCCTCCCGATGTCACCAGTCCATTCACCACCCGGAGAATTGATTAACGTTCGTCGGGAGCCTTGGGAGGCAGACGGGGAGAAAAAGGAGAAGAGCGGAGGGCAGGAGGAAGGGGGCGCGAGCGGGAGATGCTGGTCCCCACGGTGTGGCAAGCCCAGGCACAGGATGGCTATTTTATAGCTGGGGACCGTGGTGACGTATAGCTGAGCGAGCTGGCACAGCTCCTCGTGGACCAGTCAGCGGAGCGAAATTGAAGCTGACAAGACTTTTCTGGCATTTTGGAAAGGACTGTAATCTACTGTAGGGGAGAACAGAGCCGCTCAATCACCGCCGCTGTAAATAGGAGACGGAAGGGAGTGAGAAAGGAGGCGAAGAGAAAAAGTGCTTGCTGGGGGGGGAGGGGGGGCGGCATTTTTGGTGGATGGTATGAAGCCAGCCATGGAAACTGCAGCGGAGGAAAATGCAGAACAAAGCCAAGAGAAAAAAGGTACCCAGGGGTCTAACAATAGCCTGTTTAAATCTTTTCATTCAGGGGGCTTAAAGAGGTTTAGGCCAGTTTTGTCACTTTTTCAAATAGCTCTTAAACAATCATTACTGAATCTTCGGGCTTTCAGCCGTCCTTTCCTGCATGGCTTGACAACAAATTAATAGAGCATCAACCTTTCTGTCTGCGTCTGTATTTGCTCTGAATCTGTCCTAACCCTACCCGAAATGATGCTTGCGAAAGAAGTCTTGTTATTGCTGCGTCTTTGACAGATTTTGGTTAATTTGGTTTTCAGGGGTAGCGTGTGCCTGTGTGTTTGCATGTTGTTTTCAGAGCCGTAATGTGGTGTTTTCATCGAGACTAGCCATGCAGCGAGGCTTTGCAATGCAGTGTGGGAGACCTAGGTTATAACAACATATAATAGATTATAATGTCACACAACCTTCCTGCAGTGAGCTTGATGCCAAACGCTGCTCTGATTTTTAAGATCCTTTCTCTGTGGTGTCAGCTGGCAAATTTCGCTTTTGTAGAGATCAGCCTGTACTATGATAAGGGRGAACAATGCAGTGAGTTTTGCAACCTTAGATTTCAGGATGTGTTAATCACTGAGAGTTGCTGCTTAATGGAGAGAACAATTCCATGGTAATGGTTCTGTGGTAGGGAGATRGCAGCGCAGAAAGAGAGGTGCTTCATCCATCCCAGCTTTACAGGTGATTCTGTTTGGTCTGGAGTGCTGAACTTCAGAGTGTAAATTCAACTAGCAAGGGATATTTTGTTTTTGTGTCATGATTTATGTCAAATAACTTTTCCTCTTCAGTGTAGCAGACTACTATACAGATCATAGCAGTATTTTTTTTTTTTGCTAAATGATACAGCAGTAACAAAATTATTTACATTTCCACTGTTTATGTGAGTCGTAGTATATTTTTTAATCTGTTGTGTATCATTTGTAAGCAGTCTGAGTATCTCATCTGAGTATCTCATAGGCTTAAGCAGCTGATAAACAACTGATGCACTTCTCCAGGCAGAATTCTTTCATCGATTGTTAAGCAGTTCAGATATAAACATGATAAATCCTGGTACTGTCCAGTACCAGATTTTGTTTTTTCTACTTTGAATCTGACTCCTGCTACACACTTCATATAAAATGAGCTTCAGTTTCAAGTAAATGAAATTTGTCAAGTGATTAGACATAGTACTACATAATCCCTTAGGGATTTCACAAAAGGAGGTCCACTGATGAGAGATTAAACTCTGAAAGCCATTAGTGTATGTGGACAAAAAACCCACCTCACTGCAGATTTTGAATAATTAATGTACAAAATTTCCTGAATAGATTGATTATAAAACCACCTTGAACTGATAGATCRTTCTTCGAAAATCATAGCAATTTTTTCTTCTGATTGATGAGCTTCTTTCAAACTGATAGAGTTCATGTTACAATAAACACTAAAGAAAGTTATCCKCATGCATTAGCAGCTGTGCACAACAAAATGCGTTGCTGTGTGTGTTTATGATGAGTTATGGTTTCCCTTTTGTTTTGGCAAGGATGAAARCACAAGGTGAAAAACAGTAAATCTGCTTCCAAGTGGAGGTGGTTGATCTGTTGCTTTCATGGGATGCAAGCAGGGGAGCCTCCTGTCCCAATGTTACCAGTATTTCYTGGTGTTTTTCTGTGATAATTTTATATTTTGGATCTGTTACAAAGGTATATGTATGTAACACTGGTAGGCTTTGTTCTTGCCAGTTCTCCGATCCCTGAAGGTAAYACATAATCTCTCACATTGTGCTCTGTATTTCTATTCACCTAAATTCTCAATATGCTTCACAGCAAATTAAAGTGCAGCAAGCTGAAACTGTCCTACTCCTAATTACTGTAGCAAAATAAATAGATCAGACCCCTGCAAAGTTACTGCTGTGAGGTGGTCATGGAGGAGGCATACTTGATTTTCAGGGGCAGATTTTCCGAAGTGCTAAATCTGTCGAGTCCAGTTGGGTTTTCAGATGGGCTCAGCAGGCATCAGGTACCTGTCCAACGTCAGAATTTTTCAAAAGGGCTCTTTCACCAGCAGCTCCCATGGAGGAAAATGGGTTTTTCTTTGTGTAWAGAAACTTGCAGGAAAATGCTGCTGCTTCATTTTGGAGTATAAATCTTACTTGTTATGCCTTACATGCTTGCCAGGCTTGCAACATTTGCTTCTCCCTCTAGGATCCCACCTGGATTTGGTAATGGCAACCCTTTATGAGAAGCCTTAGGTGCTGTGATTTCAAGCAGTTGAAGTGCCACCTACCAAAGGGTCTTTTGACTCTTCCTTCTAGAAATGAATTGCAAAGCCTAAGGAGATAAACCATCATCTGAAGGGGTTTGGGAGATGCTGCTATTGCTAAGACTGAGCAAGGGAAGATCACAAGCATTCTGCTTTGGGTATTCAGGTTCACACTCAGTATGTTTTGCACTGCCACATTCTGGGGAAAGTATCTGTATCTAACTAATAGCAAATCATACTTTCAAGCTAAGGGTTTTTTCCCCTTTACCAGAATTTTAAAGTGCCTATTTCTGRGSTGTGTTTTCAGTGCAAGGACCTTCTTGATGCAGTTTTGTGGAATAAATRCTTGGAGGAAGTTGTGCTAGGACTACAGGCTGTGTACAGGGCTCCCAGYACTTGGGAAAACACTGGAGAGCAAYGCTGCTGGAGCACTTGGCATGAGCAGCGAGCTCTATTTTCAGTTTGAGCACCTCAAGCAGTCATTTGTGAGCGGCGGTGTCACACAGGTGTCAGTTTGTGTTTTCCATCTCTGTGGCAATTGTGGACAGCCAGCTATTTTGGATTGCTGTGCAGCTGAGGCAATTTGCACAAGTTAATGTGCTTTATGAATAATTGATGATTGATAAATGAAAATGGTTGCAAATTATTTATATTTTTAAAGTTTGCTAAATTGTATAGAATTCCCATTCTATCTTTTAACTATTTTCATGAATCCGCTGCCTGATTCAGGCAGTAATACTACGCAGCTGATGGATTCAGTGTTTATCTGACATTTGTTTCTCTGCATCCAGATGAGTGGCTGCTGCCCCAGTTTTTTTAATTGGAATTGGAACAACCCCCATGTTGATGGAGATAAGGAATAAGTCAGCTTTATGCTGTGTATCAGCAGCCCTTATCAGAGGAGAACACCATGAAAGCTGAAGCAAAATGTTTAACAGATACTTTGCAGGGCTGCAGGACAGATTGGATGCATTTTAAAGATGAAGGTTTACAAATTATTACAAATGACAGGGTTTATCTTGCAGGCATTAAATTAAATCAAAACGTGAGGACTGGGCAGGCAGATTTACTGAGGTGGAATAAATAAGAAAAACGAAATGCCGTTTTGCATCAGCAGTGAAGGATATAGATCCTGATACACATTAACAGAGACAAGAAGTTCCCTTTTCATTTAACTGTGAGAAATACTACCAAGTTGCAAAATTAAAAAAAAAAAAAAAAAAAAAAAAAAAAAAAAAAAAAAAAAAAAAAAAAAAAGAAAGAAGAAAAGAAATTTTAAAAATGGTAACTATGGATGACCATGGTGAATTCACCAATTGCATGTGGGATGGAAGAAAGCCATTATTCTAGGGTGTAGTTTCCTTATATGAATACACATGATGTTCAAATTGCCTATGCTGTGCTGAGGAATAATGAGGACCCGTTTGAGCAGCTGTACCAAAGGTCCYTTTTAATTGGCTCTTCCCTGCTTATGTGCTCTTGATAAAAGAAGACCTCGTGCTCAGTAATAGCTGTGAGCTTTATTATTTTCATGGTATAAGAAGCCATGTTTCAGCTTTTAAGCTCTAAATAGACAAATATATGCTAGTCAAAAATAGAAAGAAAATACTCTCCTTCTCTTACACTATTGCACCCAGTTGTGCAGTTGTGTTTAAATGAAGCCGTAAAGTGCAACGTGAAAAAAGAGTGGATTATCATGCAGTTTATTTCACTTGTAGCAAAGTTATTTTTACACAGTGAGCTTATGACATTTTGATGCATCACAGATGTATTTTTCATTACAACAAATTGAAAAAAAAAGTCTTTCTTTAAAATATGTGCTATCATCATCAACCAAAATTTCAAATGTACCCACTTAATGTTAGGCTCACACAGTGGTATCAGAGCTGTCGAGCCATTCCAAGGTTTTGGTATGCTGCATATCTTTCCCCATTTTAAGCAGTTGCTTGGTGTTTCAGATTCACTGACAACAATAACTGCTCTAAGTATAAGTCCCTGAAGAATACGGCTGTAGGAAGAGAGGTCCAGCCCAGGGAGAATCTGGGACACGCGATATTCTGGGGATAATAATTTRGCAGGCTTAGTGATTTAGGTTTTAATGAATAGGATTTGGTTTCTAAATAGGAGGGGGTTGAAAAAATACTCAGAGAATGTACTCATACTGGTCTGAACAACCTCATGAAAGCAGAAAATCTAGACATATGTGCCATGGGATATGGTAATGGGGGGTGGGGGAAACCCAGATGGCACTGTACGCGCACAATGGATTTTGCAGCAGGAGCAAAGGGGCTAAAGAGGGAAGCGAAAACAGGGGGAAGGTCTCCTTCAGTTAATCTGATCCTTMCCCATTTTCTGGCCAGCTTTGCTCTCATCCACTATTCATCACCAGACCATCAATGACCAAACAACACCTTCTTTGCTCCCATGGACCGCTTCATCAGCTGAGACAAAATGAATRTCAAAACTGCGTGTTTCCTCTAAAAGCTTATGATAAAGGCAGCAAGCATGAGGATGTTGAGCACTGTGAATTTTGTTACAGGCGTGCAAGATGATTCATCCCAATGAATATTGAACACCACAATCGTCTGAATGGTGCRACCTGAAAACATTGTTGGTTCTGTATCTCCTGTGTCTGTGCAGGATTGAGGACAACCTGGTTCTGGCAGGGGGCCTCGAGCTGTGGCAGCTTGGCTGTGGTGGAGGGTATTGTAACCGAGACCAGAGAATGTAATTAGTGCAGTTAGTTCCTCTAAAAGCAAAAGGTAAATACGCCCTTTACACCTGTTTTCTTTCTTAGCTCCTCAGGGTACAGAGTTACATTCCAATGGATTTGGACTGTGGGCAGCAGTTGTTACACCACTGTAACCTGGGAGCTTTTGACCTGGTGTTGATTTCACACGAGTGGGCCTGGGTGGGTCCCAGCAAAGTCACCCAGAGATACTCTCCATCTTCAAAGGTCGTGCCAGGCATGCATTAAGGGCTACCAAACAGCCATTGCTCCGTGGCTCTTTGCAGAGCAGTGGAAAAACTGAGATTCCTTACGGAGTTTGAACTGTTTCCTGATGAAAGGAGCCCTGTTACTGCAAAACCACAAGTTGCTAATTAAAGAAACTGATTCCACAGAGTATTTTCATTTACAGAAATGATGCTACAAAGTTTACATTCTGTCTCTGTGTTTCAGGGTTTGATGTTTGTACCACAGCAGACAGGTGACTTCACCAGTTCCCCCAGGCTAAGGGAGAAAAGGAGCTGCCTGCTCTGAATAAGTGCTTTTTGTACTGCAGGAGAAATCTCAAATTGTGGGTTCAAGCTAGTAGGATAAAATCTTCATGATTTCAAAGGTTTGGTTTACATGCTGCTGCAATGCAAATGAAGAATTATTTTCTTTTTGCAAGTCTTTGCACCTGTTTATTTTTAATTTTTTAATTTTTAAAAAATCTGAATCTGTTACCAATGTACAGTAAGTAGCAACAAAAAAAGCAGGGAGCAGACATTGGGGAGCTAGAGCAKAGGAGGTATGCAGTACTAGTGAAGAATTTTGTTGTTTTCCATTTTGTATCCAATTCAGTTATTTTGGCATTCCTTGTGATCTCACGAGCAGGATTGTTCCTCTCTGAGCAGAAGGAGATGACATCATCCTGAGTGCGCAGTCATTTTGGAACAGTATTTTCAACAYATTTTGAATTTTTCTATGCTCATAAGATGTGGAATTTGTCTTTCCTAAGAGGAAGGGTAAGCCATATAACGTGGAATAATGTCTTCTGTGGAAGATTTACTGATACCTGCTTGCTGGTCTGTGTGTGAGATGCAGAGAGGGGAAAATTACCAAACCACAAAGTATCCTTTAGAGAGCCATTGATGTTAAATTTATGTACAAAACCCCAAAAGAGTGTTTCAGTATTGGAGTTCATTTGCTGATAAAGAAGACAAACAAATTCTTGGTTTAAATCTCTATATCCAACATTTGGATTCAAGGCCAAGATTTTTTCTCTTCTTGAYGTATGCAAATGTAGCTGTGCCAAACTCCTCATTGCACAAGCAACAAAACCACATGAGACAGGGACCAGGTCCAGGACCTTCCGAGCCCCTCACAGGGTAGATATTTATGGCATTTCTATTCTCCTGCCTTGAAATTTGTCTCTAATCTAGTCTACAGTAGATGGGGTTTTCATCCTCAAAACCTCCACTTTCTCCACGTGCCCAAATGCTGCTGAATTGGATTCTCTTCAGCCAGAGATGATGGTTGCTTCCTGATTTAGCCACTGCAGAGGGGGACTCTGGTGCATTTTGAATGAAGGTCKGTCAGTCCCACCCTGATAGCTTTGACACGGTTCCAGTAGTGGTACCATTGCAGGCTCAAAAGTGGTTTGGTGTTGTTTCAGTGGCTTCTTTCAGGGGTCTCAGAAGCCCCGTGCCAGTGAGTGGGCGATGAGTGTGTGAGTGGGTGAGATGAGTTATTGCACGTGGGCTCTTGGTGCTGGACATCATCTGAAACGATGAGGAGAAGCAGGATTGCTCTTCTTGATCATAAACCTGGAAAAAATGGCTTTTAACAYACTTGGTCCAGATTTTTGGATGTGAGCACAGTCTATGTGAAATAAAGGCTACACATTTTATTTTTTTTAATGTAAGAAAGTAGCAGAGYAAGCCTTTGTGTTTGCCCTACCTTTACATAATGCAATAACCTTTTTCTTTGACAGCATTAGARTATTTTTAAAAACAGGTAATGTGGTTTTCTATGACTTTGCCTTCCTTTACTTCTGGAGCARAGCTTTTTGTCGTGGACAAAGGGTGACATGAGAGTGGGTGGGGGTAAGGAATAGAGTCCTTTGTTATGTGTTTTAACTCAAATCCTAGGTGGAKTTTCAGCTATTCAACCTTTCTTAACACCTCTGTGAGCATTTCCCTGTTGATCGTCCCTCCTAATCCCTCCCTTGGTCTGTAAGGTTATGTTGCTTCAGTTCTGAAACTACAGTGTGTTTTTTTGGGCTCTTGTTTTTAAAGTTAAATGACTGAAAGTRCTGAACTAAAACTTGCTGGTGACACTGACTTTTTACCACCTGAAATTGGCAGTGATCACCAGACCAGAAATGGAAATTGGCAGGTACCACTGGATGTACAGGAGTTCAAGGCCACACCGGTACCATCATGTGCCAGCATTGAGAGGCAATATTAGTCCTTTGGGGATTCAAGGTAAATAAAGGGCTGGGTGAAAGGGAAATGAAGAGTTTAGAAATGGAAGTAGCATAAACTTAATGCTTTGCACTAGTCCTAACAATTTTAAGATAAACGTTCCTCTGTTTTTCTTGTTTTGTTTGTTAAGGCTGTAAGGAGTCTACTTCTTTTGTATGAATACTTGACATAAATTTGAATTTCGTTGTTAATGCTTGAAGGACYATAATGGGTGGTGAGGGACAGCTTCCTTTTTTAACTGTGCTGCCCAATTGCTTCACAACTGTTTACGGATGAGRTGAAATAGCAAGGGGGTTTATGCGGATGAATCTATCAGACTCATCAGCCACAAAGGCAGAAATGACACTAAAGCAGTGACAGCACATCTGACTTACTGGTATCCTACAATATGCTTCCTAGACAATATTCTGTGGTTTGGTTTTCATTTTTCCTTTGCTAGAAGCATTAAGTGTGTATATCAGAGTCTAAAGGAGGATTTAGGTGAGGCTGTAAAAATGGTTTGGTAATTTTACATGCCTGTCCTTTCGATGTCTGGCTTCAGACCTCAAAAAGTCCCTATTTCATTTTCCTGAAGCTTTATTTTAAGGCTCTGTGGGGGAATTTAGTTTTGAAGCATCTCAGAAAGGCACCTGAAATCAAGCCCATGATTGATTGYGCTGGAAAATTCCAGTCTGACTGATGGATAGCACAGCAAGGGATATATATGCTCAGAGACAGCCTTTGCAGCTAGCTCTATCCAGAATCCTCTTCTCTTTATGGAGCTGATTGACTGAAGCCTGCTTGACAGCTTGTTTGCTGGAGACGCCTGCCTCCGCATCAGAGACTTTAATAGCAATGCAGGGAAATATTCACCAGAGCTTGCTGCCTCATTCTTCCCCTTTCCATTATATTTCCATACTCTTGTGCTTTAGGATTCAAAAGTTTATGTATTTCAGATGGCTTTTTTTCTCCCCCAAATACTTAGGTCGCAAATTATGATCTCTGTCTTCAGTATCAATATTCAATTTGACCATATTTTATGACAAGTTACCTGGGTGACAGGTTTTGGGCTGCCAGAAGGCATTTCCAAACTTCACGTTTAATGCATGTGGGATATTTTACGTGCAAAAGAAATGCTTCAGGTAGGAGTGGTAGATTATGAATGTTGACTCCCTGGGCTGTGAAGGACATGGAAGGAGCAGGCTAGACCCTGGTTATCAGGGTCTTGGGCCCCTTCAGCTGTCCCCAGTGATGAGACATGTCCATATGTGCTGGCACAGATGAGCCAGGACACGGAGATGCACAGCCTTCTGTTACAGCAGCTGGGAGTCTGGCACCTAAAATGGTGCTAGAAACCCTCGTTTAGGCAACTGAACCCTATTCAGTCTGCCTTGGGAATCTTTCTGAGCTGACATGTAGGTAAATGTGGTGCCTGTCATGGAGGAGCTGAGGATGAAAGGGTTCTTGTTGAAGGGATRAAAAAAACCCACCACCAAAGCCCAGAAATGCCAGTTCAACGGAAGAGGTTTTAAATGGCTGCACTTAAAGAAATGAAAAGTCTTTCATGCAGCAATGAAACCTCTCTGAGCAGGTCTTGAGTAAAACCAACCTGCCAGTGATGGGTTAGTGAAAATGCTGGTCTTTGCTCCTTTCCCTTGGATTGGAGGGAAGATGTTCAGTCCCAGTGCTAATCCCTGCTCTAAGATACCTCCCCTCAGCACTGCTAATCCCTGCTCTAAGATTCCTCCCCTCAGCACTGGCCTGCAGCTCCCGCTGCTGGTGGCATTGGCTGCTGTGCTGAGATAACCTCTGCTCCTCTGACCAGCCACGGGATTTCCTGGGTGCTTTTGTCTCCTCTGTCAGTGTCCAAATGAGAATCACTATGAGAGCCCCTCTGTGGCAGTCCTCATGGCACCCCCCTCTTCTCCCAGGGTCTCCATGTACAATATGATCTCACTTCCCTAATTTAAGCTTGAATTCAGCACTTGAGCAACAAGAGAAGAATCAGCGTGGGAGATTCATTGCAGTGCTGGAGCCAAGACATCCCCAGAACACCTGCAAGCTTAATGAGCCTTTCAAGATGCCTGAAACAAATTTTTTTCCCAGAAAGCAAAGTACCATCTTTTTCTCTAGAAAGAGAAACTTTGCAATAGTTGTTTAACATGAGCTTAGCCGAAGGCACTATTCCAGGTAGGGTGGGTGTTGTTTGCTATATGGGAATCTTTTTTTTTTTTTTTTTTTTTTTTTTTTTTTTTTTTTTTTTTTAAACTTGCTTCCCCCAGCTGCTGGGAGGTGTTTCAGCTGTTTTGTGAGTGCATAAGGGTATGTGAATGTGGAGTAGCTCACTGTAACAGCCTTACCACTCCTTCACTGAAACCAGCTCAGGTTTTGGAAACCATGTGGTTGGGACTCAGCACCAGGTTAGGGAAACACCTGCATGAAAACTGTTGCAGGGCAAAGGGCTTCTGCAGTTAGAGTTCAGATTTCTCACTACTCTTCTTATTCCACAATTAGGTAAATGTTTGGGGAAATTTTTTCATCTTCAGTTTTCTCTTACATTGAGAATTTACCTCCTGAATCTGAGATCTGCCAGGCTGGAATACACAGATACACGCTCTGCTTTTGGCCCTCAGCTCTAGGGAGAGAGAGGTTGTGTTTCTTGTTTGCTTCTTTATAGCTTAGGGAGGAGTCCACTGGGGAAGCGRTGGCTGAAATCCAGTGTGGCCAAAGTCTTGCTCTGCTGCTGAGTGCTGAAGGCTGGTGGAGGGTGAGGTGAGTTACAGCTGGCAGAAAGGTGGAGCTAAGAGTTTCAACTCCAGTCCTCCAGGTAAGATATTCACCTTTGATTAAAGTAAAAGTCAGCTTTAAAAATCACATCAGCCAAGTTACAAGTGGGTCTGGAGGATGGCTGGGTCAAGGAAACCCAAATGTCCTTATAGGTTTTCACGGAGCTATGAAGTCACCCATGGAGCTGAAATGATTGGGTGCCATTTTATCTCCACATTGAGCTTTTCTAGACCTTCAGGCATTGGGATATCTTTGGCAGTCTGCCTATTGCTTCATCTCTTTTACCCCTCTACCCTGAGTTTGTTCAAAATTATCCCCTGGGCTGGCACCAACAGCTCCTGCATGTTGAAACTACTGAACATTTCTCCAARAAGACAAAAATAAGGGAAGCGAGGGCAGGAAGGAAGGAGGTGAGCAGTGAGTTGTTGATGTRTCAGCTGAGAGTTACAGCCCCAGTCTGGACCAGCAGCGGCCCTTGCTGTGCAATGTGTTTGAACTTTGAACTCTGCATGCTCAGGCTGCACTGAATCCCAAGGGTTATTCTGGATGGTAAAATAATTACCCAGAACAAGTCTCCAGGAGAAATAATGTCAAAGGTTGTATCAATAATGCCTGATCCATCCCTGATGTGAGAACTCTCTTTTTTAAATCACCAGCTTATTTTTTTTCCTGCAGAAGTAGCTTAGATCCAAGAAAGATCTCTCCTCAAGAATTCCCACTGAAACCTGATTGAAGAAAGGCCTTTTTCAAAGTAAAAATCAAGTATTTTTCTTCTGCTACAGATTCTACTGTTTCACAGGCCAAGAGTTAAACACAGAAGACATAAATTAAAGTTCTGCCTAACCTTTGTCCAAATGCAATAAAGCTGGACAAGAGCAATTCTCTCATCCCACCATCTCATGGGGCAGCAGCTTTCTTCCTGAGCAGGTCTGACTCCTTCCTCTCACACAGCAAACACCTGGGATGGGCACTTGCAATGAGTAGGGATGTAGTGATTCTTATTCTGTAGATTCCACTGTCTGAAAAAGATGACTTCAGAACACCTGTGAGCTTAATGAGCCTTGCAGAGGTTGGAATTATATAGATGGGKACAGTGTGTATTTCACTAAATTTGAAGAAGGTAAATTAGATAAGGCATGTAAAAAACCCATTCAGATCATCTGTCTTTACATGAAACAGGTTTGGTTCCTGCAATGGGAATGCAATTTTTGTCCTATAAGAACTGCTGATTTGGGAAGAAGAGATTTGGAGAAAAATTAAAAAGAGGGTTATGGTTACTGCTCTCTCTTCTTTTCTCTGCATCATTTAACACCATCCAGAAGAAACAAATCTTGCCTTGGTAAAACAGCCTTTTATCCARTTTGAACATATTTTTTTCTTCAGCAAGAGAAAAAAAATTAGCTTTTGCTGTGCATGATCATTAATAACCTCTGAAAGGCTGTTTGGTTTGTTTGGGCTTTTTTGTTTGTTTGTTTGTGGGGGTTTTTTTGTTAAACATGGTAGAAAAAATTGTACTTAATTTTAAACCTGTGCTTACTGTTTCCTTGCTGACAAATTCAGGAGCCACTTATTGTCACTACTTATACAGTACCACAGAAATACTTGRTGCTCTGTGGATTTGAAAAGGGGTCTGCTAATGGTCCTTCCAGGCTGTGAGAGGCTTGTTSTTAGTGTGCAGCAATTCTGCTTTCTCTGTGTTGGTTTCCAGCACAGGAAGTGTGAGCAAGGACTTTTAGATCTCTGCTGCACAAGAATATGGAAGCATCTAACTGATAACAGAGAATAAATACCTATTCAGAAGACGGAATGAGCTGTATAACAATGCTGAAACCAAGTATCTTTTGTCTGTATCAAGAATAGCTGGAGAAGTTACAATTAATGCTGATGACCTCCAGAAAGGAGCTACTTGTTCCTCAAGTAGCTCTTAAATAGTAGAGATTGGAATGAGATTTACTGGATGGATCAGACTGCTACCCCAGATCTCACAGGTTTTTTACTGGAAAGTTTGTTTTTACTGGCCAGTTTGAAGGGTAACAGAGGTGGCCTTGCTGCATTTCAGGTCTGATCCTTTGTGGMAGCCCTGATGGCTGTGTTCTCCAAAGGTCATGTCTCTTCCATCACAARTACTCCTCTGGCCAGGAAGGAGCTATTGATCAACAACCCTGGAAGAAGGGAATGCAAATGCAGTGGAGAGATTAACAATCTGAGCAGATTAAAGAGCACTTGCATTAAAT